ACAGAGATCGAACGTTCCGCGGAGATTGCTGTCGAGAGCGGAAACTCGAGAGCGCGCGGGGCACCGAGCGGAAGGTCGAAGAGCCCATTCGCCGGAAATCGCCTCCGAGACGACCGCCTCACAATGGGACGTGTTGGCTCGCCCTCGGCTATCCGCAAGGGCAATTACCAAAATAGTTATTTTTATAGAAAGTTCGCGAAATGATTCTTTTTCGCGCGATGGATGGAGGTATTTTTCTCGAGACCGGTAGGTCGAGGGAAAAAATTGAGATCTGATATGGAACGATCATTTCGCTCACGAAACATAAACATTTTTTTCTACGATTGTGTAAAAAATCTTCTCTTACGAATCGTTGTTTCACTCTATACAAAGGGCTTGTTGAGAAAAGAAAGGGTCTTGGGCTGTAGTTCCACGGGGGTTCTTTATTTAAAACGGAAGTTCCCCCACCCCCGACCTTTTTGCGGTGAATTTGAATTAACAGAAGCCCAAGTGCATTTTCTATTTGTTTTTAATGAAAAATAAATGCATGCGCCCCCAATTAAGTCACGGACTATGGGCAATTTGCCCCCAGCTGCACCCTCCCTCCCCTCCCACGCCTTTTCCTCTTCCCTTCCGGGCGCCTCTGTTCTTTACTGTTGTTTAATGTTATTACTCTTCGTGTGCAGCGAAACAAACCATTTTAGTTGACCATCTTAATGCGAAACATTCTTTTTTCACGGTGACATTACGTTTTTAAGAGGTTTGATGATACTTCGAAAGACTAATTTCGCGCACGCGTAGCTGTAAGGTAAAGAGTTTATCTTCGAAGATCGTAAAAAAATGCATTTCGTTGGAAATTACGGAAACAATTAAATTTGTGCTTTTTCGGATTATATAAGTAATTCCATTGCAAAAACAGTTCACAACTGATTACAAATAAGTGTCTTGAGGCAGTTCTTATGCTTTCTTGTTATTGTCGTGTCTTCATAATTTACATCAATTATCGATTCTGTTTATCTGGTTTTTCTGTTTTAGGACAAATTTGCAACTACTATATTATCGTAAACTATATTATTTCGGAAATGAATATTTTGTAATAGTAACAATAATTTATTTTTGAGCACTCACGTATTTTGCATAATTGCAAATGATAGTGTTTGTCAGTGCATTATTTGAACGAAGTGTGAGAGATCAGTTTTTAGAAATGTAAAATTTGTATTACGTGCCGTAGGTCGAATTCGTAAAAATTTCTATAAAAACTCTTTGTGTTGTATGAACATTCCATTTCCTAATAGCCATTTCAGAAGAGTTGATACCATCGCCTTGAAATGTATGAAACACGAACAGAAACTTTCTTACTGTACATTGTGTCTCCGATTAAACATACGTTTTAGATTGGGATGCTAAACAAGCGTTACGATAGTGTTTTAACGCAGCGATGTACCCCACAATGGTATACCTTCATTTCGCTGAAACTCTTACTGAGCCTTTGGTTCAAACCCTTCTCTGTAGGAAAGTTCATTTTCGGGTGGCGTACCTAGCATAACCATAGCGATACTTAAGCCAAGGGAGTTTCTCTTTCAGTTGCGTTTTGGTCTTCGGGTTCTTCTTGCCATAATAATGGTTTCAAGATCGTTTTATTACACCGCTATAATCACAATGAACTGGAAATGAAAAAGGGAAAATAAATTTCCATCATATTTCCGCGGTGAGGCTTATATTGAAGCCGGAGGCTTAAAATCTAAGCCTTTCAAAAGTGCTCGGGAAAGTTGAATAAGCCGCTTGTACGTAGGCGAAATATTATTAATATAGAGCTCCGAGTGGACCCATTGTAACGTTTCACTTCAAACTACCCTCTCTTTCTCTTTCTCTCTCTTTCTCTCTCTTTCTCTCTCTTTCTCTCTCTCTCTCTCTCTCGCTGCCCCAATTTCGTTCCGTTTCTCTCATTTAGAAGTTAAATTCTGTTTCGTTTACTCACTAAAAACTACAGTTCAAATGTAAGCTCACCAGCTTCTACGGTGTTATCAGAAATTATGAGAATAGTGGCGCACTTTTATCGTTGACACACCGAAATCTCCCAGTGCTTTCCTAGGATGAGTTTTTTTTTTTTTTTTTTGTTTTGATGCGGGGAAACTTAGTACATACCTTCACAATTTATGGATTGGAAAGAGTGTGTTTCTCCTTCAGCATAGTAGATTTTGCCGTACGGCAAAGAAGTAATGGCCAAACAAAACAACAGGATAATGTATATTAGAAAATAGTGGGCCAAATATCTTTGTTGCTGCCTCGGATATTGGAAATGATTCCAAAAAGATTGTATAGTTCTAACTTTCCACGAATTCATACTAAAAATATTGTATGCGTCCCGTATAAAAGTACTTCTGGAGTATTCATTTCAAGTAATAGATTCAAAAGTTATAAATTCAATATAAATGTTCGCATTGTCAAGACTTCATTCGGACGTCAGACTCGCTTTCTGTTCTTGTTACGTAAATAACTACTGTCATAGCCTTAAACTTATTTTCACAGAACGAAAGCGGGATTATTTTTGTCACGACAGTAGAACAAATAATTTTTCTAGTTTCTTTTAAATGTGTAATTGTTTATTTGCAGCGGACTAGTATAGCTTAATCGGTGCTTTGCTAAATCTGATCTTTCAGTTTACTCGTTACCAGACCTAACACGTTAATACGAGTTAGTTCTGATTTAATCACACAATATATTGTGAGTAATTAAAAATAACACAGTTCAATTCAAATGAGAAGCCTGTTTCTCGAAACATCGCCTTCAAATACTTCGTGCAGAAGACATTATTACATTAGCAAACAGTACGCCCCGCCTGGAATTCTAGAGAAGGTCCACGAAGTGCCAGATTGCAGATAAATCAGATAGCTGTTCGCGTAGAGAAGAAATTGTGAACGGTTCTTCCATTACCTCAAAGAATTTCAGCTCTGATCGGTACGTTTCCACAGACACGCCTCTTTACATTCAAGAAACTTCTGTGCTCCAACAAGTTCGTCTGGTGTGCCCTTCCGAAGACCCAAGTGAAGTTTCTCGAGTCGCAATTGGCGACTCCAAAGGAGCACACGCAGCCTCCAACACCCCTTCCCCTCCCCACTCTGCCACGCCCTTCTTTCGCGATCACGAACGTGCGGCGATCGATCTCAGCGTGAGAACGTGAGTTCGAGGCCCGAGCGGCGCCGTCGAGCCCACTTACCCCTTCCTCCCCCGCAGCGAAAGCGCGGAGAAAGTGCCCCTTCGTTGGAGCGTGCGCCGCGCCGCGCCGCGCCGCGCCGCACTCCCCCGCGATGCTTATCGCCCGCCCGCGTCGCGGAGGCGGGGCGGGGCGGGACTGAGTCATATCGAAGAAGGTGATATAGCGCCGGGCGACAGCGCAGCGCGCGCGCGCGGTCCGATTTATGTCGCTTTCTTTTCCGCATTTGCCATTCTCTTGGCGGTAGGCGATGTCGACTGTGATCGTGTTTCCTTATCTCCTAGCTGTCTGTCCTGGGGGAAATCATGTGTGTATTAACTGGTAGACTTTCAGTGGTTATGGCTTCGTCTGTGCTGATATGAATTCATAGCGTTCTATCCATCATCTGGTTTGTAAAACAACTACCTAGTTACACGGGTTTGTCTGTTTAACTCCTGGTTATTATGCAGTCTTCGTAAAAAAAAAAAAAAAAAAAAAAAAAAAAAAAAAAAAAAAAAAAAAAAAAAAAAAAAAGTGGATGTATCGTAAACTGAATCAACAAATAAAATGTGTTCGTTTCTCGAAGCAACAATACGTTCACATCCTACTGAAATGATTGAATGTTTTTATCACATATTAATTTTATCTGATGTTGCAGTTTCTTGACTCGTGGATTGATCTGAGCGGGATCTGACCTTATCAAGATATTGGAATCATCTTTTAATGTTCTAAGTCTTTAAAACGAGCATGGGTACCGCTGGGATATGTCCTCAACGTCTTTCCAAAGTAATTTATTCTTCAATTTTTGAAAGGATTTTGATATATATATATATATATATATATATATATATATATATATATATTTGCTACCGTATCGAATGCAAGTCTTAGAAAATTCTTATTAGATACTAGCTATAATTTACACCTTCTCGAACGCCTTCTGACTACCAGCGAATTCAAGAGTCATCCGAATCTTGTCGTTCTCGGGTTTGGAAAAGCTGTGCCGTTGAAGAGAGGGTGCCTGCGCTGATGTATTGCGGGCCGCTGGCGGATGCTCTCCCTCCCCGGCGTTGCATTGTCGCCGTAATGGTCTGCGATTTGAATTCGCGCGGTCGTTTTTCATGCCCGCTACGGGGCCCCCGCGCGCAACCCTCCCTCCGGGAGAAGTGCTTCGTGCGCATTTCTTGCTTCCCTCCTTGCGTTCCCCCTCGAAGGTCATCGCCTGGAGCGATGCCGTCTTCTGGGAGAAACGACGCGGAAGTTTAATTCTCTCCAAACCCCTCCTGCGATTTTCCCCCTAGGAGATCCTGGTATTAGCATGTTCTGACTCGTAAATACCTTGGCTATTGGTAGTGAACATCGACCCGGAATGCGACCTATCTTCTAAATTTCCGGAGGACACGCACTTTTTATTTTATTCTAGGTTGGCCATTGGCCCTCTGCTGCCGTATAAGATAAATACATTCATATTGTTTATATACATGAATTGGTTGAGACATTATAAACAGAAATATTTTGGAATAGAATTTTACGGATGAAATTGAGAACTGGACGGGAATTGGTGTAATGACACGTTCATTATGTAACAGCGCATTCCGAATGTACCAGGGAGCTTTTGTGATGGTGTGTAGGAATTTATTTTGAAAAATTTGGATTTTGTTTTTAAGTCACCGTCTCTGGAGTGGTTTTGAGGCGCTTAATGCCATACTCTGGAAAAAACGTTGAGTCTTATCGCCACAAACTCCCAAAAGCAATCTCGATTTGATCACGGGTGTCCCCTCCTGTGTTTTGTATTCGAGATGTTGATGTTCTGTTTTTTGTGTTGCAGGGAGGTGCGAACTGTCGTACTCAACAAGGGGAGCACAGGACTGGGTTTCAATATCGTCGGAGGTGAAGATGGAGAAGGTATTTTTGTATCGTTTATTCTTGCGGGCGGCCCTGCAGACCTGAGTGGGGAACTGCGTCGAGGGGATCAGATTCTCAGTGTCAATGGCGTCAATTTGCGCAATGCCACGCACGAAGAGGCAGCTCAAGCTCTTAAGGTAAATCACATTTCTGTTCAGGGATTAGAACGGACAAATGGGAAACATTCATGTGTTTGGTTTGATGCTACTGTATACTCAGTAGTACCTTTTTAACATGATTTTTTTGAACGCTTTCCTTGGGAGGAGTTTTATGATCAATATTGACAGAATATCAACACTCTTCACTGGGCAATGAAAACTTCGTAACTCAGATTTCAGCAAAACAATATTTAGACTAAAAACTTCTGGATCTCGACACACTGCGGACTTAAAATACTTCAGATAACTTTTAATGTATCGATCGAAGTTTGTACTACACAGTTCAAATAGAAAGGCCAAAACTTTGTATCAGTTTATGTACTAACATCACTTTTTTTTGTTTCTACTGTAAAATTTAAGAGGGTGGAGTTAGTAGGTTTTCACTTCCCATTGACGCACTGATTGTATACGATACTGGATGCAAACAACTGTCTCATGAACTTGGCTTATTTCATTTTCTCAGGGAGCTGGTCAAACAGTGACTATTGTCGCACAGTATAAACCCGAGGAGTACAACCGCTTCGAGTCGAAGATCCATGATCTAAAACAGCAGATGTCCCAGCAGATTATGTCCGGCACCCTCATGAGGACATCACAGAAGAGATCACTTTACGTTAGGTAAGTGCAATGAAAACAGTGGCATGCATGTTATCATTCAGTAAGCAGAGACAAACGTATTTGCGAGTTATTCATAACTTAATTAATAGGATGTAATTTAGTCTACTTCTTTAATGTTACTTCAGTTTAATTGTAATTCGTATGACTTCAGTGCGCATTTAAAAGTTGTGTAGCTAATAACTCAGTTCGTTTCTTTTTTGAATTATATATATTTATTAATGAACAAATGTACATAGTTCAGTGTTATTTATACTATATCATATGTATTTTCTGACTTACAATTAAATCTGAGTTAAATGTATGATAAGCATTTCACTACCCATTAATAGGAAACTCACAGAGCACCTATGGGTGTTAATTCAGTTCTGAAAATATGCTGAGGAATGAATCTAATGGGCATCTATTTTTAATTCTAGTTGGGAGCTAGTAAGTGGTGAGTTTGTTTCTTGTCCAACATTCGGGTTCCGTTGCTTATAATTTTCTCCAACTTCCAGGGCGCTGTTTGATTATGATCCAAACAAGGACGATGGCCTGCCAAGCCGTGGACTTCCATTTCGCTACGGAGACATCCTCCACGTCACCAATGCCAGCGACGACGAGTGGTGGCAAGCCCGACGAGTGCTGGCCACGGGCGAGGAGGAGGGGATGGGCATCGTCCCGTCGAAGCGACGCTGGGAGCGCAAGCAGCGGGCACGCGATCGCACCGTCAAATTCCAAGGACACGTGCCAGGGGTGATCTTGGACAAAGTAAGTCGCCCTATGCTTTGGGACCGCATTCCTAGACGGTGATGGCATCTGAAATGGAACGAGGACCCCAGCGCGATCTAAAGTAATTTTTAGTTGTAATTTCATAACCAGCCTCACACATGCTAGGTCCGATTCTACTCGTGGTGGGACAGACAGACCTTGCTTTCTCTTATATTGCGATATCAGCACGGTGTTTTAGTCTACCTTTGCATCGCGTCTCTAAGCCCTTTTGGGGCATCGAGCGCAATCGGCAGCATTGAACGTCCCCATTGTGACGTTTCTCTAGCGACATACAAGCTCCCGTTACGATGAAATTCCAACGGTTGATATTGTCATGTGCACTGCTAAATAATTCGTTCTATAATGAAGTAATCCTCCTCTAATCTCGTCCAGGCACGTCAAACCGCGCCCACACGAGCTACTTGCCCGCATGGGGTGCCGGGAGCGCGCAACTTCCCAGGATCCGCACTCATTTCCCTTTAAAATCCAGAAAGGGGTGTACATATGCAAACTGGAGCGGCGCGCGGCGGAGAATAGTGGATTTGTACGAGATTGTTTGCCGAATTTTTTGTCAAATAACCGAGAATGGTGTTATGTTTATATTTTTCACTAATTACTATTTGATGTTTACTTTCTTACTAAATTCTCCTTTATATAAACATTTTTACGAAGTGACGGAATTATGTTTGAATGCCGAATTCTTTTCTTATTTTCGTTTTCTTGGTGCTATTAAATCATTGAGTTATTTATTGTATTTATCAATAACGTGAAATGCATTAACAAGTCTAAGTTAACAGTTCTATCTTACGGGCAGACGGCGCTTTTAAGTCATGAATATTTTTCTGTTAAACCTTGTAACCTGAACGTATCAAGTTAATGCTGTTATATCACTCATAAGTAAACAGTTAAGACACTTTTGATTTTTTTACTCGCTTTTGAGAATTGGAAATCTTACTGAGATATTATTTCATTTTAATGAATATTTCTTTACTTTAAAGAGAAAAAGGGAACTCGTGTAGCTATATTTGGGGCAATAACTGTCAACTGACTTCTCGTGAAAACTGTCATAGATCAAGTATCAAGTCATGTACCGCCGAAAGATTTGTACAACCCTTTCTTTTAAGACTTGCACAAATTTCTCTGGACACAGGGCCTGCGAGCTCTAGTAATCTTGTACCTTGCCCGCGATCTAGTCAGTTATTGCCATTGATCGCTTCGGCCAGGGCCACAACGTCGTTGGATCAGACGGTCACCCGACGAGGAACCCACGAAGTCTTATATGCTTAATTTCCGGGACTTCACGAAGCTCAGTTACGGTATTCGGCTAGCGACGCCGCGGCGCGCCGGCGGTTAAGGTATGACGCGAAGTTGACCGTTGGCAAACTGAGAAACAATCCTAAACTTTACCTGAAAGACACGAATTGGTCGAAAGATTGGGGTCGCCCTTTAACTGACAATCGCGGGCAGTATTTGGCGCTTTCAATGTTGTGGAAAAGTCCCATTATACGCCGAATTGATGAAGAAATTTAACATATATCACGCGTATATAATTTTTTATTTTGTCTTTAATTATTTTCACATACTCGTGCCCTCTCCCAACCACTGCACAGTCGCTCTCTCTCTCTCTCTCTCACTCACTCTCTCACACGACCACTCACTCACACGCCCGCCCACTCACTCACACGCCCGCCCACTCACTCACACGCCCGCCCACTCACTCACTCACTCACACGCCCGCCCACTCACTCACTCACTCACTCACTCACTCACTGACACGCCAGCCCACTCATGCTGATACTTTGCACCCTCAGACCTGATCCACTGGCTCCAGATATAGACATTGTTCTTTCCATTCCATAAGAATATGTAGAAAAAACAAATCATCGCAATGTATCTTTGAAGGTTTGGATGAACAAAGCCCCACTACTATGGGAAATGCCAGAAAAAGAGTGGATGGAAGAAGATGTTATGAGGATCCAATCTATTATATAAGATTTTTATTCCATTAAATATTATTCAAATTTTTATTACTTACCATTTTAAATAGTTAAATAATAATAACAATACTTTATTATTATTATTATTATGAATGTATTATGGTATTAGATTAAAAACGTATTTTAACCTGTAACTCAGATTGTTGCTTTTTTTCCACTAGTGACTAATTTTAAACAAGGTGTGATATTCCTTTTTGGTTAACATGGGATTTAAATTAGATCTGTTAATGTTTCACAAAATTCAGTACTTGTACCCAATTTATACATTTCAGAATGTGAAAAATGTATTTAAGAATAAATACCTGGGAAAGAAAAATTAAGATTGTACATAATAATTATGCAAGTCCATGATTTAAGATTTTAGCACTGAATTTGCTGTAAAATCATTCAGAAACACTCATTCTGGCATATAGAAACAGTTTCTAAATTATTTGAAACATTGCCATCTGACAGTGAACAATTGTTTGCAAAATGTATTTCAAAAATGGCAAAATTTTTATTATTTAATTGCTTAGTAAATAAAATTATCAAGGCCGGCCTGGATAGGCATGGTTGCTAAGGGTGAAAGAGCATAGCTGCCATAGCTTAAAGGTTAAAGGGCTGTCAGTTCAAATCCTGCCCCAAGCATGCATGTCTGTGTATGTTATTAGTATGTGCTCCCCACCATTACCCCAAAGTGAAAAAAAAATTTCAGTGATCGCTATATGGCTGAGCAGTTCAAAAAACAACCCCCCTCCCACAAAGTTCTCACAAGCACAAAAATCAAGCTGAATTTCAGAAAGAACCAACCTCTACACATATCGACTATCACATGCTGCTCACAGCAACAGTGCATTTTAATCGTTTTTTGTGTTACTCTCAGTATCATCCCAAAGGTGTAATTTCTTACTGATTTTCTCTCTGTTTTAGCAATCTACACTTGACAGAAAAAAGAAGAATTTCTCATTTAGTCGGAAATTTCCTTTCATGAAGAGTAAAGATGATAAATCTGAAGATGGTTCAGACCAAGAACGTAAGTGTGTTTGACATTATCAGATTTTTAGTGGTAAAATAGTAGTAACAAGAACGATCTACAAAAATATCTAGAAGAGATGGGGAAAATGAGGTAAACAAATTGTTTGGTGACCTAATGTTAATGTGTGTTAATACTAAAATAACTGTGATGTGCTTGTACAATTAACAAATTTCCACAAGAAATTTGAAAAATCTATTTTATACCTGGTTGTATCTAAATTGTCTTGGGGGGGAAAAAAAAATAACTTGAATGGTGTTGGTCATTGCTTCTTGAGTATTGGAATAACCAAACTTTACCTGACATGAATGAAAAGAACATTTTTTGCTTTGTATTGTAAAAAGTTCATATTGTAGAATATTCACAAGAGTTGCTCATTAATTTATTCAAACAGTTGCTTCATAATTCTTTGTTTTTGAATTCATATCATTAGACCTTTTTTGTACTTACTATTGAAGTGCTTTCACAAAACGAAGTTTATATTATATTTTTTTATATTATTGGTAAATACAATTTATAACTCAAGAAACCAATGATCTCCCATTATTGACAGCATGTGCATGTTGTTCTGATCGGAATATTAATTGTGTGATTTAATGTTTTAAATTGTAATAACTTGAGAATACTCTTTTTTTTGGACTCGTTTATAAGTATTTTTAAGTAACAATTTCATAAACTGTAAATAAATACTTCGTGTTTAAAGTAACATTCAAGGATTGGGTATTCTTGAAGGTGAATTGAGAAGAAACCTGAGTTTTCTGAAACCATTCTAATATCTCTGTGGGGTGTGGAGAAATTTGAAAAAGTCTTTATGAGAGGGATCTTTAGTAGATTTAATAATTGATGTTGTGAAAAGCATTGATGTTTGTTCATTGGTTATGCAAAATGAGATAATTGTAAGCTTTCTTTCACTGAAGAGGCTATTCCAGGAAACTTTTGTTTTTTCAATTTAAGGATTTGTAAGTTTACAATGCGTTTCTTCTATAAGAGAGAGCAAAATAATATGCAAAGGCACAAAATATTGGATAATCTGCAATAAAAATGTGCATCTTTTTAACATGTGAGAGAAAGCTTATGAAAAGATGAATTTTGTGGTATGCCCTTCTGTCCTGTTAATGTAGACTTGTAGAGCTTCTGTTAAACATATTGTGAGCATGAATATCAAATATGTGTAGGTTGCGTCTTCTGTGGCATTTATTCCCTTGTAGCCATGTAAAAGTGTTTGAGAGTAGTTTATGAAGTGCATGAGAAGAAATAGCATGTAATTTGACCCGAATGTTGTGATGGCTTGCCCTTGCATTATATTGTGACTGTGATCTGTGTTCTTTGTGTGCCTTATAGCTTCACCTACAACTCCCAACAATGATGCTGATTCCAACTCACAATGTAAGTATCCTGTTGTGCTTGATATTAATGTGGATCTAAAAGAATTTATTGGCTACAACTACGAATGCATGAGGCATAAGATGTAGCCAAACTGGAGTGTGTTGAAGTACTCAGTAACTGCTTTCTTGTGAACCATTGTAATAAAATGAGTGTCAATGTATACTCAATGTTTCTTGTTTGTGACTTAATTATGTGATGTCTAATGTAGACAAATTTTGTTTATATTTTATTTGAGAAATTGAGGTTTTGCCTTACATTTGAAAGGTGATATACAGTTTAAAGAGTAATTGTTTCTCATGTTTTGTTTACCTATATGTACTGATAAGTAAACCACCTCAGATTGGCTCTTGTGCATTTGCTTCTTCATTAGCATCAGTAATGTGTCCCAGCAATAAAGCCTGTTGATGTTCCATTGGTTTTGTTTCAGCATTCATGCTGTGCTACACGCAAGATGATACTCATACAGAAGGTATAAATTTCATTATTACTATTATTTTGAGAAATGTATGTACTGTTTTTGCGAGATATTTATGATGCCAGTAGCCGCTTTCTCCCTTGGCTTATGGTATGCATGTGCTAGATGTAGAATCCTTGCTTGACATTCATTGTCTTTCACAGGCAAGGTGAATTTCTTGTGTAGGCTTGCATTCAAGCCAAGAACTTCTTGTTTTCCAGGAGCGGAAGAGACAGTCCTGTCTTACGAAGCAGTTCAGCAAATGCAAATTCAATACACTAGACCAGTCATTATTTTGGGACCTCTTAAAGACAGGGTGAATGATGACCTTATTTCGGAGTTTCCTGATAAATTTGGTAGCTGTGTACCACGTAAGTTCTTTGTAGAGGTACCACAAAAAAATAACATGGTGGAGAGTGCAAAATTTGTAGTGATTGACTTTGCCTGATTAATTTTCTGCATTAGACACAACAAGACCAAAACGAGAATATGAAGTGGATGGAAGAGACTATCACTTTGTTGCATCTCGTGAACAAATGGAGCGAGACATTCAGAATCATTTGTTTATTGAAGCTGGGCAGTACAATGACAACTTGTATGGCACTTCTGTAGCTTCAGTCCGGGAAGTTGCTGAGAAGGTATGCTAACATTAAAATTGTGAAGTATTGGTGCTTGAAATTGTTAAAATGTTTGGACCATAATAATGTATGTTTTCAGGGCAAACACTGCATTCTAGATGTTAGTGGAAATGCAATCAAGAGATTACAAGTTGCACAATTGTTCCCAGTGGCAATCTTTATTAAGCCCAAGTCCATTGATTCTATTATGTGAGTAATATTGCATTATTACTTGTTTTTTGACACGGGTAACAGGTGAACAGAATATACCTATGTAAGATTTTTCTAATGAAAAAGTGAATTTAGAACATATATAACACAAATATTAAATCTATTCTATTATGATTTTGTAACAATATTGAGATGTATATAAATAAATATATTTAGTATGTAACTACTCAATGTTTCATTCGTATAAAGTATTTTATTAACACAATATTTAATTAAAATGTATTTACAATATTTTTCTATTTGGTTTGAAGGATGTTAAATTTCAAAACTACGTCTAGTTGCTTTCTGAAATGTAATATTCAATTTCTTTTAGGGAAATGAATAAGAGGATGACAGAAGAACAGGCAAAGAAAACTTTTGAGCGTGCCATGAAAATGGAACAAGAATTTGGTGAATACTTCACAGGTAAAATTTAAAAATTCAATATACCTTGTTCAGAATTAGTAAATTGTATTATATATTCAGTAATATTACGGTGAACAGTGTGTTGATCCAAAAAGGGAAATCTTTGGTCATTTTTTTTAAAAAAGCATGACTTATGTAACATGCAAATAAGAATTCTGTATAACATTCATGCATTCTCTAATAATGATGCATTTTCAAGGTGTTCCTTCAGAAATTTCTCAATTAATGAAATTAACTAGTGTTAAATTCCAAGCATTTATTACATCTAGTTTACTGTGGAGAGTGAGGTTAATATTTAGCCCTCATAACGTGAAAGAATAGTTTTTGATACAGTATAACTATTGGTCTTATGTGTACAGTTATGCTGTTGACATATAATGTTGAATAACTGTAAATCAATTAACTGTGAAATATGAAGTGTGTAAGAATAAAGTGTAAAATATATTAATAATCATAATAATAGTATCTACATGTGCATGCTCTTCCTGAATTATTGTAGATATTATTTTGTTTTTGTAACCAACAATGATCCATAATTAATATACATGTCATTGAGGCTAATAATCGTGAAGTAATGTAACATTTTGGTTAATTAGGTACTTCATGGTATTTTAGTTCTCTGTGACATTTACATGACTGACTTTCAGGTACTAGGTAATGTTCTCTTTGCAGTAAGCATCAATAAAGGTGTTAACAAATCTTGTGTTGTCAACAGTTAACTTTGCCAATGATAATCCTTGTATCTCCTAATGGCACTATTGCTTGTTTGCAGCTGTTGTTCAAGGAGACACTCCGGAGGACATCTACATGAAGGTGAAGGAGGTGATCCAGGAGCAGGCAGGCCCCACCATTTGGGTGCCATCGAAAGACCAGCTGTGACGGGGCGCCCAGCCCTCGCCATGGACAGTGCCTGCATGTGGCGGCTATTGATGGAGCACACGTGACCTGCCCTAGTTGCCCTGGATACCAGTCTGTTGTCAACCAGGTTGACTCTCTGCCCGCCTGCCTAAACTTTTAGTGTCCATGTGTCCACCTGCCAGCATCACATCCCCAAAGCATAAAGAGTAATTTGAGTGTTGGAACTTGAAACCAGTTTTATGTGGTACCTTACTTACTATGGGAATGAGTAAAACATTACCAACATTGATTTTTAAAATTGTGATTGATTTTATGCCAAGAGTGTTTATTTTAAAGTAGTATTTTTGAGACAATATTGTTGGATGAAATACATTTTAGAGTACATGGAAGTGAAAGATCAATTTAAGACTATAAAATAATGGATGTTTTGTAGAATATTTGTACAGTATGAAGTGCAGCTTGATTAAGTGGGTTCATAGGATTGATTTAAGTTTTGATAGGTAGAATAAATTTTGTTTTGGGGTTGTCATTCTACCACAAGGCTAGAAAGACTGTGCTATTTTGTAACTAGTATGTTATTGATGGCCTTGTGGCTTGCAGGTGGCTAATCAAAACAGGGCAGATTGAGTACTCAGGGCATGAAGCAGTGTGTATGTGCATGTTTGAATTCATGCAGGGACTTACGGTTAGAGGGATGGGTGAATATACAGGTTGGTGGTTAGTGGCCAAAGACTTGCTGAACCATAGGAGTGAAGAAACTTAACTCAACTCCTCCTCTATTGTATGAAATGTTGACAATTAGCCCCCTTTTAATGTTTCACATATACAGTATAAAGCTAGTTATTTTTCAGCGTGGACTGTGCAGTGCTGGAACTGATGATTGGGGGCAGATTTCTCTCAACAAACAGCTATGACATTACCGGTTTTGTAATTATGACCCTTTGAACCTAACCACATACAGCAATCTCAAGATCTGTTACTTCTTAAAACTATAAAAATCTCAGTAATTGCAACTTGTTCTTGTTTGTTAATTGAGCGTGTTGCCTAGAAATAAAAGCTTTGTGGGTTGCAATGTAGGTGAGTTATGACAAAACGTTTGTTTTTATATATGTATGTATATTTATCAACCAATGGCATAACTATGCCCAAGTTCGAAAGATCGGCAGAAGATGCCTTGGGATATACATGTCCAAATTTTTTTCTCATATAAGAACATCTACAAATTCTATGTACATGTTGCTTTAAAAGCTCCAAGTAATGTACGTCTGATCGACGGTGTGATAGCTTACTGTGCTTGCAATTTTTGACCCAGTATTGTATATATACAAAGTTCTAAACATATTTATTGTTGTTCAGTGTATATGTGGAGCTCTATATAAAAGAAAACCTTTAATCTCAAGTACATTGAGTGTTAGTTCAATAATTTTATGCATTCTGTAAAGTTTATTGAATTGTTCACATTTAATTTAATGATGTTTTTATCTGTGTGATAATTAACAAATTAGTCCCATTTTATGCAATTTTTTAAAATATATCTTAACAGTGACAAAATGGAGTGTGATTATGGTTAATTATCTAATACTGAGTTCTATAACATTTTTCTCCCAAGGCAACTTCTGCTCTCATAGTTTGAACACAACATGAATGTACATAACAACACCCACTGTTTGTTGGATAATGGTGGCTATTATTAACTCATTTTTTATCATTATAATTAATGCAATCCATTACCTGCTAACGAATATTGGATATTTCCATTAGATGTGAAGGATATCCAGAACAAAGTGAATTGTGATAATATTAGTATATTGTTTTCCAGTTGCAGTTAACATTTTGACAAAGTACCTTGTTTGAGTGTGAAGGGATGTTGCAAATGTTTAGTTTGGGTAATAATTAGTTTGAAATGTATGTGAAACAAGAGGACTATTTTATTCATGCTTTTTTTTGGAGCCTGATTTTTTTAAATTTATTTAGAAGGTAATGAATTATTCTTCCCTTGATCATGTTACTAATATGACAACTATTTGATTAGTACTTGCTAAAGGCTAGTTTGAATACACACTGATAGATTGAATTTATCTCCATAAAATCTCTTAGTTTACATGGTTGAACTCTTTTTGAGAGAGTTTTATTGATTTATTTTATGCCTGTGCTTAAGATTTGTTGTACTGTGTATTTTAATGGTCTGTAGTTATGGTTTTAGGCAGTTTGACTTACATATTCAAAGCTTCATTGACTTGTTAATGCTAAAGATGATTCCCAGTGTCAGCTATGTAGCAGATAGCCTTATAAATAATTGTTTGTTCTTATATATATGTTATTAGTTTGTGAAATATTGTTAATGAAGCAATAAGTATGTTAATTGTGAATTAGTTTTTATCATGTTATTAAAATTTTATATCCTATTGTGTTCAAATGCCAAAATTTAAATTACTGCTATTAAGATTTAAGAATTTGTGTTATCACACTGCAAGTACTTTGTTGAAATGAATGTGATTCTCAAATTCTGTTCTGAAGATTGTCATGATATGTCAATAATCCAAAATGATAACTTCCCATTCGTTAGCAGGATGAGACAAGTGACATGGGTTGAGAAAAATGCATGGCTTTCTCACATTAACTCCTGTTTATAATACAAGAGCAGAAATCCTCTCCATTGATTGCAGCTGTGTAAAAGTGTTGTTGAATTCTGTATACAAAAAGAAAAAAGAACTGCCCATTTCATTGAAATGTAAATAAAGTTGAGTCCCCCCAGAATTGGTTTTTTTTATTTATTTATTTATTCTTGTTACTTATGACGTGTAATGCTTGGAACAAAAATTATTAACTTTTGATTTCAAATATGCATAACAAAACCTGTTATGTTGTGCATTTTATTGGGAATGAACTCTATTTGTATCAAAATGTGGAAGTAGTCCAAAGTAAAAGGAAGTTGATGAAAAGCTATTTCAAGTCCATCTGTTCAGGAGATTATTGGAAACTGTTACTTTAATATTTATAGAATGGCTTGTGTAAGTGTTGCAACTCTAATAGATAAAGAAACAGTTACCTCTTCTCGTCTGCAGCTTCATAATATGACATTTTCAGATCTTTTTCTGTGTACTCCAAAATGAGCGTTGTTACAAAAGATTAAAAATTCAGGTTGAAAAGTCTGATCGTTAAAAAATATTCATGGTACAGTAATTATAAATGGTTTTTTTGAAGTAAGCGATGGGAAAATTATTTTTCTGGCCACTGGAATATAAAGCAGAGCCATCACTTCAAGGAATGACAAATTTCAATTCATATTTTTTGTTTTGGATTACTGATAGATTACACCGATTGTTTATTATGAAGTAATTGCATTAATAATGCTGAAAACAATTTTGTAATATACTTTCCCGAGCTCTGAAGAAAGTTTATGGACCGTAATTTTCAGCTTTCGCCTTTTATGTTTTGGTACAATGAAAATTTATGGAACTTTTTTTTCTTTTCACAGTTGGATATTACTCCCCTCCCAAGTTTATTACATTCATTCATTAGAAGACCTATATTAATATTTCAGACTTAAAAAATATTTGCATATATTTCTTTGTGGCTAAATTTACATAGTTTTAATTAATTAGCAACATCATAGTACAGGATGCCCCAGAGAAACTTACTTATTTGAAAAAATTCCCACGCGGTGAGTTGGAAGGGTGATTTTATATACTTTCACACTGACTTAATAACCAGTCTTTTCTCACACTAATATGCCGTATGTTGCAAACAATAATAAAAGCCCATCAATGGTAATTCCGAATGTGAGAAAAGACTGGTTATTAAGTCAGTGTGAAAGTATATAAAATCACCCTTCCAACTCACCGCGCGGGAATTTTTTCAAATAAGTAAGTTTCTGTGGCGCACCTGTACATTAAATTCTTACACCAAATTCTGTAGCCTACATGGGGATAACATGAAATTGTGAACTTAGTAAGTGCAAAGAATGAGGCAATAGTGGCAGTAGAAATTTGTGAAAGGTCCAAAACCAAAGAACATAAAATCAAGTACCCCTTCTGGATTGAAATTTTCTACTCCTTGCCCAAAAGAAAAGCATTTTATGCATATAATTATTTCTTTCATTTTTAGAAGAATGCAGTATATTTTACAAAGATATAATAACACGCCTAGAACTTAGACATGTTGAAATTTATTAGTTTGTAATTAGTAATTTGTTAGTTATTGGTAAGAATTATTGGCATAGAATTTTAATACTTACAAATTTTTCGAGGCTTTGTGTTATATAAATAATAACTCTTGAGAAGTTAATAAATGAAGTTTATTAGGGTTTTTTGTTCTTATTGTAAAAAACCGTAAAATTAGGGAAATATGGATAAAAGAAAAATAGATTGTAGATAAATGAGCATTGGGAAACTTCTTGTGTAGATAATGTAGGAGGTGAGATTTTTCAAAGTGGATGATTAGATCCACCAGGAAAAGGTGTTCATTTGAACAAACTTCAATTGAAACAACAAAAAATGGGTCAGAATAAAAAAGGTTGCTTTAAACAAGTTTTGAAGGTTGCAAAATATCTTCATTAATTCAATTTGTAATTTTAATTCATTTCAACTATAGGTATGCTTTTATATAAGAGAAACTATAGGCATTGGAATTACTTAGTGAAAAAGGCAACACTTGAAACAAATACAGAGGAACCTTCATTTTCTAGGATTTGATTTTCCTAGATCTATTTCATAATGGAAATGATTAAATGAATGCATTGCAAAAAAATGGAACGGACAGAACAAATGACCTGCAACATTAGGATGACTTACTTAATTTAATCAATTGATTTGGGAATACATTTGAATTGATCACAGAAAGAAGACAGAAAATAAAAAGGAAGTGCCAAATAAATAAGCACACATGAACTGCTTAAGAAACTTTTGATGATCTAGGCTTTCCGGTTTCCATGAACCCACTCTCTGGTAATATCACAGAAAATAGATGATCTCTATAGTTATCAGCCAATTGCTATATATAGTATTTGAGAAGCTGCAAGCATGTGTGTGTGTGTGTGGATTCATTGTTAGACCACTTCCTGTGCACCACTCTAGGCATATGATGTGTCATTCCATGTGTCTCATCTCCTGGTGAGGAACTGATAAATTTGTTTTGGGATCTGGCCAGAATATCAGGAATTTCCAAAAACTCAGTTAGTCAAGTATCAAAGAACTATAAATGAGTTAAGTAAAAAAGTTGGATCATCAGGGTCATTAATTTACTGTAGTGTGAATTTAACTAGACCTGAAAATTAAAATAGGTCAGGTGAGCCAATACATAGAGTAAATGAGAACATTTGCTTGGACACCATTTTCATTCAACACAAGAGTATAGAAAATTTAAGGAAATCAGTGAAGCTTCCTCAGCCACAGACGCTCTGCCACAGGACATTTGACAGGGATGGAAAGTCGAGGTTTACTCAAGAAAGTTTCATGAAGTTAGAGGTGGAGTTAGTTTCATGAAGGAAAGAAGCTCAGGCAAGTTCTAAAGTGATCATTGCTTCTTGCAAGTATAACATTACAAACTGAATTTTATTGCAAACTACCTGGCAGAATAGGGTCAGTCTTCAGAAGGAAGACAGATAAGCTGATATGTCTTTATTGGATGTCAAAATGACTTCAATATTTCAGCCAAAATCACTTTTCTAAAATAAAATTTTCTGAATTTTCAATTTTAAGAAGAAATGTTAATGCAAAAATTTTGACTGAATGTAAAACTTTGTTACATGGTAATCAGTTTTTAATTCTGAGAACTTTGTTCCTTTTATGAGAACTGGAATAGTAAAAATAATTCGAAGGAAATAATGTTTCTAGAATTAAATTACTTCAATATTAAATTAATATGGGCTGGAAATTGCTGTTGATGTGTTTCCTCAGAGGAATTTTAATGTGTAAAATTGGCATTAATATGAAAATGACAGTGTTCATTTTGTGTATGACACGGAAGTTAATTTTAAATTATTCATATCTTTCAAACTATAATTAACTCTTGTATTACTTCATCATCGTTAATTTCAGGAAATATGAAGTTGCATGTCATACCCATGTTGAATCCTTATAAAAAGTTATGTTTAACAAATAGCTGTTTTCATACTAGATATTTGGAGACTATGTGAAATGTATTTACTCTGGACCAACATTAATAGTAAATGAATCAGTATCTGAATCTGTAAGGAAGTGTCACTAATTCTCAAAATTGTTTTAGTAATTCTCAGTGTAGTGATATTCACAGAAAATATTCACAGATTTCAAAAAGCAATTTAGTCTTCATAAAGTACATCATCACCATCATCATCATCATCATGAACTGTTGCTGTTTAGGCTTAACAGCCTGTTCCATTATTTATGCAGTATTCCTGGTAGTTAATCTTCCAGGTGTTCCTGCTGTTGCCACTTTTTTCGTTCTCTGCTGGTTTATATTTCCATATTTTAGCTATCAGTTATTGTTCATTCTTTTAATGTCTACTAAGTCTTTAGTTTCTACTTTCTAATGTCTTTGTTTCTCAGTCTGTCCCTTTTTGTAACTCCCTCATGGTGTCTCAGAAATCTCATAGGTGCTCCTTGTATTTTTTGTTTCTTTCTCTCTTTGATTATCCATGTCTCAAAGCCATACATAGCTACTAGTTTAGCTGTTAAATTTTGAATTTTTAGTTTTGTATTTGCATTCATGTCTCTGCAAAAGTGCCATTTAATTGTTCCACAGATTCTGTTGTATTTATACAATTTATTTTCTAAATCCTGCTGGGTGTGGTTAAATACACTTATAATATTTCCAAGATTTGAAAATTTGTTGACTTATTCCACTATTTCTCCATTTATTACAATTTTGGCTCTCTTCTGTTCTTTGCCTTGCAGTGCCATCACATTTGTTTTTTGAACTGACATTTTCATAGATCATTTTTGGACCTCTTTTGTTAGTTCAAAAACTGCTCTTTGTAGATCATCTTCAGAATCTGTTATGGTGGTTTGATCGTCTGTTTGTAAGATTGTGTCTATCTTTTTATCCTTCTGATTTGTATAGGTGTTGTGGTGCGTTATCGTTGGCATTTTTCATGAAATAATTATAGACGTTGTCATTGCCAACAGTAGTATATTGTTGTCAACAATAGTACTATTGTTGGCAACGACGTCTATAATTATTTCATTTCCTGATTTGGGTATCCTCTTTTATTTTCTTCCTCCAGTTTCTCACTAGGTGGTTGATGTATATGTTGAAGAGAGTAGGTGACAGACCACATCCCTGTCTCAGGTGGCTGCTCTTTGTTCTTGTTGCAGACTTTCTCCCGTCTCTTAACATTATTTTAATGTTAAATATTTCATGTTAACTCTGGATTGCATTGAGTAATTGATTTGGAATTTTCTCCTCTTTCAGTATTTCCCAGAGTTTCTGTCTGTTTACACTGTCATATATGTCTTTTAATAATCTATGAATATTATAAAAGTTGGTAAGTTTCTGTCTCTTCTTTTGTCTATTATGATCTCTAATGTAAAGATAGCAGAGCTTCTTTCCTTTCGGAACCCGCACTGTTCTAATAATGTACATATCTTTTCAAAAGATGGAATACAAGTTAAATTTCAGGAAATTATTTAACACAATTGCTATTTCTTAATTTCACAAACTCTCTAACTCTTGACTCATGAATATCTAAAGGTTACAATTTACAAATCGAATTCATTATGACTGTTGAAATGTATATTTTGTTCTTTTTGTACTGATAGTGAATGCATTTTCAGCCTCAAATTGACAACCAAATTCAGAACAATCACGTTTAAATTGAAATTAAGCACATTCAAATTCAAAATAATCATTTTCTCATTGGGATTAGAAATCATAATTGAGAAGAAGGAGAAAAAGTAGAATTAAAGCAAGAAAGAAGAATTCTCTGAAAGAGAAAAAAAGCACTGTAAACCAAATTCAATGGAAGAAAACAATTTTCATTTAACCAATTGAATTTTCAAATATATTAAAGATATTCATTTTTTTGAACCTCTTGTATTTTGTTTGGTAGGAACTTTTCAAGTGTAAGTAAGACAGAAGTTACAGTATGTTAATTAGGGCCTTGATTCTTAGATTTTTACTTATTTTACTACACTTCTTAACATCATTATTTTTAAACACTTACCTTGTTTCAATTATTGCTGAGTCAGATTGATCTTACAGATTATAAAAGAGGCTAAAATATGTTATGGCTCTATAACAGGCTAAATTGGAGATTAAAAAAATATCCAATTTTGGCTTAAGAAAATACATAGCTTCATTTGAGCTGATGGAATTGTTTTCAGCATGTGGATTCTATTCACATTGCTGTCTTGATTGCTGCTAATTCAGAGGGGGTGCACTTTCTGGAAAATTGGGAAAAATCAGGGAATTTCATTGCTCTGGAAAAGTCAGAGAATTTATGGAAGAATTGATAGAAGTTGAGGAAGATTTTGAGATCTTTAAAACACTAAATATATGGCAATATTTTTTGTTCAATTTCTATTCATTGAGGTGTTTTAATTTGTATTTTATCATGGCGAAATCAGGGAGCTAACAATTTTGTTTCAAGCTCACTTTAATATTTTCTTTAAATCGTGTAAATCTCTTCGCAAATCTTATCAGTGAAATATTCGTTAAATGCTCTAGAAAACCGAGAAATGGCAAGGAAGTTTATTTCAGGAAATGAGTGGCCACCCTGTAACTAAACTAGCAAGAATTAACAAATCAGTTGCAATAAAGTCAAAATTTTCTGCTAAAAGTAGAAGGTGACATCTTACTAAACCAAGAGATGAAGATCATTTAAACTGTTTTTGGGGACGATAATACTAGGGATTATAAGGGATTCTTTTCAAAGCTGTAGAAATTTTTTTGGAATTGTCATTACACATAAATGAAATTCTTCTGGAGTTCTTGTAGGAGAGGAAATATCTGGAGAATTACCAAGGGGGGCATCTACGAAGTATGCACCATTGATTTTGTGTTGTGTACAATGAAGCTATTCTCATTTCAAAAGTGCATAGATAGATAGTAAGTCCTTCACATAAGATATTTTGTGGTTGTATATGGATGGGGTTGTTCATTACATGGAGCATTTTAAAGAAAATTAATTTTTATTTCAAATGCTTAATTTTCTAGGTAATACGTAAAAAGACGAAAAATTTTACAATTTAAATATTTTTTAAAAATTTTCCTAACATGAGTAGCCAAAATATTAAAAATCTAAAATGAAGTAAATCAAGTTCTCCAAAAAGTCTTAAAGAACCTTATAAAATCCTAAAAAAATTGCCCTAAATATAATATTACTTAACCTTTTGAGAAATTATGTACAGTTGTATCACCACTAGTTCTTGAATATGCCCGACTGTCTGTCTGCTTGTCCATTTATGGAAAACTTTAACACCGAAACTGTTCATGAAATTTACACCAAAATGAATGTGCCACAAACATTTTGATCATATTCAATGCAAATTTGAAATACAATACCCCCAAAGTAAAAAAAAAAAATAAAGTACCCCCAAAGTTAAAATATCTGTTTCAAATTCAAGAGACCGAGACATCAGCCAGGTCGATTGGCGAATTTTCGAGAAAATTGGCTGAACGGTTTAGCCGCTAGCCGGTCACAGATGGACGGACAGACGTTTTGCCGTCATTCGATATTTCGGTATCAACGACACACAAAATATGGACTCTGGGTACACCACGGGATAGAGATTTTCCTCCTAAATTTAGCAACTGGATTTATTCACTTATTCGTTACTCTGTAATACAAGTTTTTCCTGTCGAAAATTCGCCTTTTTTTCGCGCAGCAATACGTAACTTTGTCTCTATTCTGTAGCGAGAAAGTAATTATAGTACTTTTGTCATAATTTTTAGAATAAACTCGAGACAATTTTTATCAAATACAATAAACATGATTTTCTCAAAAACGCCTGTAAATTTTTGTTTTTCACTGCTAGTAATGATAGAGCGGATTTTAAGCCACAAGGGTAACTTTTATTAAAATCTTTGAATTTTCAAAAATTAAAGGTTTGTTTTTCGTGCTTCGTTTGATTAATAGTTTTTTCAAGAGATAGGTGAAGTCATATTGTATAACTGTTACAAATAAACTGAGAAAATAAGGGCTGTTGAATCACTAGATATTTTTTCTTTCCCTGCCTTAGTTGCAACCTTATGTGTTGTGGTTCATATAGGCATTACATGTTCTTTGTTCATGAGATTGTATAGGCAAGAATTCATTTCTGAAAGACATAAAGAATACAAAGTTGGTGAAAGAATAATAAAGTACTTAATACTCAGAAATAAGAAAATTTATTTCAAATAAATATTTAATCTTGAATAAATATTTACATTTTTTAAATGTACATTTTCTTTTCAAATACTTATATTAACAATAATAATAATAGTGATACTAAAATGTTTTGATACATGTGTTGGTACTCTAACACCTTGCATGTATCTGTATGGCAAACAATCTTACAATCGCTTTTAAACTTTATATTCGCTTAATTTCTAGTTGCAACAGAAAGTTCTGAGGATTCCGAAAAATTCACAACTATGTTCTACGAATTATAAGTACAAGGAAAGTTCTGGATGATGCATGGGATTCCTTAGGTATACGAAGTATTTCTTGCCTACGGATCCGCAGGATCATTGGAAGTCAAGTATGGTACTACCGAAGAAGTAGTTGCATTGCTGAATGTAAATGAGCCCAGTTAGCAGGTTGGTACATCATTAGGGCGCATTACCCTAAAATACTGCAGATAATTCTGACATGTAGACATAATTTCACTGCAACTACAGACTTTTCACTATTATTCCTTGAAAGTATCTCTTCTATCTTTATAGGATGAGAAAAGGCACTTCTGTCTCTGCACAATCGTATTTACACATTTATACCCTTCAGTGATTTTTATCTTTAGTTACAGGATTCACATTTTGCTCGTAAACATAAAAGAGGAATCTGAAATATGAAATGTCTCCCTGAAATATGATTTGATCATTTTCAGTCAGTTTGAGTGAATTTGGTGTGGTGAATTTACACAGTATTGCACCCGTTTTTTATTGCTGTGTGGTTAAACCTGGGATATTGGTGACTCTTCGTGGTAACTTCCTGAGCTTTCACATGGGAATCATGAATGCCTCTTTTTCTGTCTATCGCCTTGCGCCCTGGACAACGCGCATTTGATGCACAGCACGAAGGGCCGCAGGCCGAGAAGAGAGCTGAGGCGAGCGAGCGCGGAAGGGCGGTCAGATCACCATGTTCTCCTTGATCCAGTCCACGTATTCGGAGACGCGCGTGTAGACGCCCGGGTAGCCGGGCTCGCCGCACTTGTTGCCGAAGGACACGATGCCCAGCTGCGTCCAGCGCCCGCCGCGCCGCAGCATCAGCGGCCCGCCCGAGTCGCCCTGCGCGCATACGCACGAAGATAAGAGTTCTATTTATTTATGTATTTATTTATTTATTTATTTATTTATTTATTTATTTATTTATTTATTTATTTATTTATCTATCTATCTATCTATCTATCATTAAAAACAGAAAAAATTGTATGTGGCACACGGGAGAGAAGAATTGGTATGAGTATGGAGGTAATGAGTGAGATGTAGAAGTATTGGTCTAGCTTTTCTAGTGGTAGTGGTAGAAGTGAGTGTGAATGGTAAATTGTGTCCTTTAAATATGCTCCTATTACGTGTTGTTTCATAAAATAGTACTTTTCGTCACAGAAAATAGACGTACGGGAAAATCTATCTGAACAAAATCTGGGGAATAATTCTTAAATGCGTACAGTTAAAAAAGTTTTAAAATAGTTACTAAATACTTAAACTTGATAGTGCATATTAATTAACTTTTACTTTTAATCGTGCTTGACTAATTCACAGCAAATTTACATGCCTAATTTGGAACTTGATTGTGCATTGAAAATCTTTTCTTTGTGATGAGGTACTGCAATAAATCTTGAGTTAAGTCTGAAGCTACCATAGCATTTATTTTCAAACTCATATTAAGTATAGAATTAAAAAATCTTTCATAATGACGCTTTTAAAATATAAAAAAATTAAAATATGACCATCATCATTTTCCATTAGACACTTAAAAGTGTATGAACATTTAAAATTTTACATCTATTTATTAAACTGTTGATTCCACTGGTTCCTACACAAACTATGGATGTGTAAAATCAAATCGATTACAATCGTGCAAAAATTATGATTTTCATTTAACATTTTAAGATCAATTCCTTTTTGAATATGATCATATTTCGGAAGAATCGGCAAATTTTAATTACCAATATAACTACAAAATTTGTATTGTTAACAGTTCATAACAGTGTTACATTTATGTGTAGGTTTAACATTTTATTTAAAACAACCGATTATAATTAGACGAATTATCTGTGGACGAAAACAATATATTATAATAATAATTGAGCTTTTTTTAAAAAAAGAAGTGAGCCCCCTTACCTCACATTCACACAGTAACATCCTTCAAGATTAAATAAGGGATCAGAGAGCCCACAAAAGAAATATACCAGTTTCAATTTCGTGTACCTACGCCAGTTGGCGTGAAAACGTGCGGGTGGCCTACCTGGCAGGCGTCCTTGCCTCCCTCCGCGTAGCCGGCGCAGATGAAGGTGGGCGTGATGGGCTGGAAGTAGGTGCGGTCGCAGTCCTCGTTGCGCCACACGGGCAGCTCGGCCTGGCGCTGCACGGTGCTCTCCTTGCCACCTGCGCAGAAGCACCCCCCCCCCAATCACTCAACCCCCGCTTCTTCACATGCCATCGGATCAGAGCGGTGAGATCCAACATCCAAATGACGGAAAGGCTGGTAATCAATTTCAAAGACTATTTAAATGTGAGCTGCACTGGTATCAGAGGCAGAAGAAAGATCAAGTTTGTCACTTTGTGTCTCGTATTGTAAGTTGTAACTGTACGTTACATTCTAATAAAAATAAAATTCAAAAGACTATAGTTTAGTGAAAATGCATTTCATCGTTTAAAGGCTGTGAAGTTATATAGCATATTCTGTAACTGTTCTGTGCACATCTAGAAGGAACGAGAAATTATATCAATTCTTTAAGCAAGGATTAAAATAAAAAAGTTCATTTTTATTAAATATTAGCTGACAACTTAATTATTGATTAACCACATATTTGCGAGGAATCCATTAATATTATTAATTCATAGAAAATGAATTCATCAACTACTTTTATGTCGATGGTAAGTTTCAGAAATTAAAAAAATACGAATAAAACACGTGATAAATTTAGAAATTATATTAGGTAATATATTCTCTAAAATGAAATACAAGTTGTTTTAGAGGAACGCGGGTGCCAAATTAGTGACTATATGAAAGAAAGTAGTCTATCGACTTCAGTTACTTCAATCTAGAGTACACTATCATAATATCAATTATCATTTGTCTGTTATTTATAAGTTTTGTTAAAAGAACTGAATCGGTTTTTAATCCTTCATAATTTCATCTTTTTAACCCCCTTTCGTCAAAATCAAATGTGAGAACATTCGAAGTGTATGACGTTAGTTGTAGGAACCTGCTTGTTAACAAAACCATATCAGGATTGCGGAATAAAGCAATTAGATTTATAGTGCAAAGGAACTAAGTGAACTTGTGGAGCATTGTTACGCTTAGTGTAGTCAAAGTGTATTATGAAATGGAAGTGTCTGTAGTTAAATAATGTACAAAACCGTAGTGAAAAGTGTGTAAGACTCTCGAAAATTAACAACCGATTTCACTCTAATAAATGAGCTCTCGATTTTAGAGGGCCTTATCCCTTAATGGAACAAGACGTGCTTATTCACGCATTAATTTTTATCCATCTATACGGGTATGTGTTCATTTTTACTTTCGGACCTTCATTGATTCATCACTCATTCATCCATTCATTTGTCCATTAATTTGCACATTCATTTATTCATTCACTCCATTCATTCGTTTACTCATTCATTTATTGACTCCATTCATTTCACTAATTTTTTCGTTCAGTCGCTCCGTACATTCATTTGTTCATTCATTCATTTGCTCATTTATTCATTTGCTCATCCATTTATTTCCTCATTAATTAATTTGCTCATTTATTCATTTGCTCATCCATTTATTTTTTCATTCATTCATTTGCTCATCCATTTATTTTCTCATTCATTCATTTGTTCGTTTATTCATTTGCTCATCCATTTATTTTCTCATTCATTCATTCACTTGCTCGTCGGTCCGTTGGTGGCGCTCACCGTAGTAGGTGGTGCCCCACCCGACGACGGTGGGGCGCGCGCCGACGAAGCGCGGCGCGTCGGCGCCGGCGGGCGGCAGGCACAGCGGCTGCACGAAGCGGCCGCGCCGCGCCGCGCGGTCCAGCACCAGCAGCGCGATGTCGTTGTAGAAGCCCACGCGGCTGAAGCGCGGGTGCGCGCGCACCTCCAGCACGCGGAAGGTGTCGGGCGCGGACGGCTCGTCGTCGCGCTTCAGGTCCACGTCGCCCAGGCGCACCGTGAACTGGCGCGGGCTGAACCTGCGGGCACACAGCGGCGCACTCGACTGATCGACTGATCGATTAGTGTTTGCGGGCGCGTCTGCTGAAGTCATTCGGCTCGAAAGCGTATGTTTCATCCCGGGAAGATCCCGCTGGACGGCCATATCCGGCGCGGCCGTACACGTCAGCTTACGGGGTTTCCCCAACCAAGTATCTCCCTCCATCGGGGCACCGCCCCAGCCAGGAATAGCTCTAAGCTCCTGACTGTTCCTCCGGCACGTGTGGTAGTGCAAATAAATGTATATAAGTAAGGGTGAGGATAGGACAAGAATGAGGAAGGAAATATCGCGCACGCTCCGTGACCCGCTTGATAAGGTACTGCTTTGACATTCGTTTGGTGTTGATCGGAGAAACCACGAAAATCTACCGATCAGAGCAGACGGTTGCTAGAATTCTCCTCCAGACTGCGACTGAGTTCAACCTAGCTATGTAGCCGATAATCCTGTCATTATCCCGACTTGAATCTAAAACCTCCCGGTCAGAGGCACTGTAATGACGTCAGTGAAGCCAAGAGCCAACTTAATCGGTAGCGGCGCGGTCGACTCCAGGGGCGCCGCTCGGGAGAGGTGGGTGTGCGCTGGGAGCAAGTAGAGTATGTTGCTTTCTTACAATTTTGATGTTTTAATAATACAATCCCTTTCACAAATGGGCAATAAATATAGAAGTCTTTGATACCGAATATTATTACTAGAAAGAATTGGTTTTTGGCAAAGACTTGCGCAACCTAAGCTAGAGTGGGGCCAACTAACATTTCTGATCTCCCTGTCAATTTTATGAGCAATTCATTTTTTTCCTCTTTTTATTTATTGATCCCGAATTGGATACACTTTCTTCTCTATTATTCTCTTTCGTTGGACGGATTGTCCGACGACAAGAGTCGACAACTTGAGGTTCTAAATGTCATACGTTCACAAATTGAAAATTGTATGAACAAAAGAAATGTGTCCTACTTTGTGATGCCTTTGTAGTAATCGTTGCGCGAATGCCTTTGACATTGCATCAGTAATCCACAAACCATTTGTTCCTACCTGTGTTGTTTATGCTATGTCATATGTCACTTTTTCGCTTTAATACGTATCAGAAGTTTTGAAAGGGGCTGGATGATTAGGCACCTTACATTGCGCACTACTTATTAAAACTTAAGAATATAATATGGGAGAAGAGAAACGCGATGAGATGCAAAGGGGAAAATACTTGTAATTGGAAAAGTAATTTGACAGAAGTGTTACTTGTTAGAGTTCGAACACAATAGCCAAAATCTGCGTGTAAACTGAACGAAGCAATTCCCTTCAGTATAGATACTATTTTTGTGTAATTAACTACAGCTACTATATCTAAACCTCTCACAAATACCTTTACGTGAAATGTATGGGATATCACAAATGCCTCCTTGTGACGTTTATTAAATGTATTGCTTGCAATAGACGTTAATTTAATTTGTATAAACTCACGTAGAATAATATAAGATTGGAAAGTGGTTTAATCCTTGAATATTTATTACACCCCGGGCGGTATGTGCAGTGATTGATTGCTTCATTAGTGATTCCGTGTGCATCAACAGCTAAGGTTATTCGTCCCTTAAGTGTAGTGCATGATTTAATATCGGGAGATGGAAGTGTTCGTTTACCGTTGTATGGCGAAATCCGGCGCCGACCTCCGTCGTCTTGCGAGGATTTCCCCAACCAGGTATCTCTCATCAGAGGCGCGCCTCCCCAGGCGGGACAAGCTCCAAACTCCCGATTAGTGCCACCAGAAGTGTGATAGTGCAGTGCTTGTGAGTGCGTAAAGGGTGAGAATGGGATAAGGAAGTGTAAGAAAAGCTCGCGCGCGGTCCGTGGCCCGTTAGTGAACTGCTCCGGCATTCGCTTGGCGTTGATCGGAGAAGCCACGGAAGACCACCGATCAGAACAGCCGGCCGGCCACTAGACGCAGTGCTTGAAGAACAGGACGAGTGGCGGGGCGGGCTGAGAGACACGCGTGCGCGTGGTTGGGCACTCACGGGCGCTGCTTGCTGTCGCGCGTGCAGTGGGCCGCCGTGAGCACGAAGCGGCCAGCGATCAGGGAGCCGCCGCACCAGAACTCCGTGCGTCGCGGCCCGTGCAGGAAGATGGCGGCCATCCACGGCCAGCGGCCCGGCAGCGACTCCTCACCGCCCACCACGCGGAAGCCTGGCACCTCGGGCTGCCCGCAGTCTGCCGCACACACACGCACGCACGCACCAACACGTTAATGCTCTAATGGCATTTCGACATCAAGGCAGTTTTGTCACTTAAAGCATATTACTCCACACTCTTCCTCCCTCCCATTCCACTCTGCCTTCGTTCTCCCTTACCCCCTCTCTGTCCCCATCTCTTTCTCTCCCTCCCCCTCTCTCTCTTTTCTAGCGAGCGAGCGCGCGCACACTCCTCCCACTCACCCTCAACCTACTCCCTCAACCGCACTCTGACACATTCTCAAACAAACACTTCGCTCACTCGCATACCTAAGTTTAAGTACACATCGCTCGTAATATGTTTAGAAAGCCCTCTCCAAGTCTATCATTTACTTAATTATTATGTTCATTCACTGTTTTCCCAAGAGAAGACTATCTCCTTTATAGGCGATGATTAATTACTGCAGATACACGTTCCGCGAAAGATGATGAGAATTTCTTGGTAACATAGTTTCATTAGACAAACAGTTAAATTAAACAGACTATTCATTGATTTTGTTGAAATCTTGATTTCATTGTCATTAATACAGTATCACTTCAGCATCCCTATTCCCTAAAATTGAGGCAAACTTAAAAGACGTATTGCACCGAGTTTTAATTTTACACTTTAATGCTGAGCACTTACGATTTCGTTATTACGACTGCATGTCAGAGCACTTATGAGTTTACATTTCATGAAATAAACATATCATTCTCATCAATATGTTGCAAACTGAATTATATTTCTTTTTTCAATGCCTATCTGCTTATTAAAAACATGATTGTAGGTTCAGTGAGTGATTATTGCTTTCTAAGTTTTGGAGAAGTGAAATAGGAAATGGTCCAATAGACAAAATAATAAAGTACTCGGTCAGTGACATTGGCAGATAATAAACAGAAATGCATATGGATCTAATAAAATTAAATCACTTAACAATTCATGTTTAGTAACATGTAAATTTTTTTTTAAAAATCTGTTTCAGTATGTTAAAATGTGCTTAGTAACACTTTCTACATTCGGGCTAGGTGCGTTCGAATGAGAAAGTACAGAATGAATTGGAGCATGGAAGTTTTTCGCGGAATCACATCCATAGGCGCACTAACTTTCTCCAAGCATTTGAATTTTCATTGATTCATGGAGCAAGCAACTAGTGGGAGAAAATACTACTGTGATATAAGATTTCACTGATCCGTGACATTTGCATTCATTGGAAATATGGAAATTTCAAATAGCATGAGGTATTATTACAATGAATGTGAAAAATATTGTAAATAATAAATAACTATGAGGGTGAAATAAATGTACTGCGTTTGCATTAAAAAATAAATCGGAAGCTTGGGGGAAAATCTAGAGTAGCTGAATCAATTTGAAATTCTGGTTTAGATTTAAAATGTTGAATCTCCTGTATTAATGTGTATAATTACAGCGTATAGTTAGTGTGTCAGATTGGACAGTGTATTTGATTAAAATTATAGTATTTTTATTTATTTCGGTACCTTAAAGAAATAATTAATTTGCGTAATCGTGATTATAACTTTAGTGTTCGAAACTCTGCATTTTCTCGAAGAAAACGTTTAATACAAATCTTATCTATCATCTAATATTATAAGAGCCAAGCCCTGAAAATTTGATTCTGTTTGTGAAGCCCTCAGAAGCGAGGGTTCATTAGAAAGCAAACTTTGGGAGAGGGTCAATCTTTAAATTGAGTCAACCCCTACGACATGCAGGCGGGAAGGGAGTTCTCCTAACTTTTGGTTCATGTTGTGGAGCTTCCTAATCAACTCAAGAGGTGGTTGAGTGCTCATATGAAAGCTCGGAGAGCTCATATGAAAACTAAACATGTTGTTTGTCTGGAGATTTGTTCTATTTAACTTCAATTTAAATACTTATGTTTCTGTGAATATAAAATATGTTTATTTTTTACTGATCCGTTATTGCTTGTTATTGCCTTTGATACGGAGCTTGATATATATTGATATAACTTACCTGGAACGAGGGGTTGTGGTTACGAGGGACATGTGGAAACAGTTGAAAGATGTTATTTGTTCTTTCATGGAAGGAATTATGAAAGGGTTATGAGAAGGAAATATTAAAACACAAACTGAGCCAAGTTAACGTCTAGTTAATTAGTAGATTGGTAAATCTGAATCATTAAAATTAGGTAAAAAATAAAATCTTGTATACACTGCGGTCGTTAACAGCTTTTAATAACGTTGGGTGACAAGAAGACATCGGGAAAACGACCCTCGGACTTTCTGTCGCCGTTCGATTATTAGAACACTTATAACGGCCATATGGCATAAATAAATATTCATTTTTTGTTGTTATTTAATTTTAATGTTTATTTGAATTAAGAGCTTCTTAATAATTATTTATACTTCAAGGGCGTTGTAAAGGTTTTAATAATCATTTGAACTACTTAACGTTCGTGGTATAAGGTTTTATTCTTTTACCTAATGTTAATTGAGCAGATTAAATGATTTACTAGTATTAATTAGACATTAACTCGACTCAGTCTTTTCATTTTTCCCGGTCATAATTCCCTTCATAATTCCTCCCATAAGAGATGATATAGCAACATTCAACTGTTATCATATTTTCCTCGTAACTACGATCCTCTCGGTACAAAATGTCGAGCTCCGTATCAAAGCCAATAACAAGCAATAACTAATTAGTAAAAAATTAAACAGATTTATTCTTTAATATTGTTGCATGTTGTTTTGTTTTTATTCACAGACCGTCCGCCTCGGGCGCCGTCATCTAGTTTCGTTTTGGAGTCACGTGCCCGTGTGAGCTGCATGCTCATGAGTACTCGCCTTCCTCGTCGACGGGCAGCGACGAGGGCGGGGGGCGGGCGGGCGCGGGCGGGCGCTGGGCGGACGGCGCGCTCGTCACCGGCACCAGCACCGTCGGCCGCCGCGTCGTGGTGCTGGGGCTGGCGGTGACGATGGTGGGGCGGCGCGTCGTCACCGGCCGCAGGGTGATGGGCCGCGGCGTGGTGTAGGCCGAGGTGGTGGCGGAGCTGCTGGTCGTCGAAGTAGGGCGTCCACTGCCAAAGAAAGAGGAGGCCTTTAGTCGCACGCGCGTGGCGAGGCGAGGCGAGGCGCGGGCAGGGAGGGTCCTGTGTGGGTGACGGGCGCCACTAGAGAAAGCCGCGCGTGGTATTCCCAAAACGGAATTGAAAGTCTGACATTTCACACTTCAGGCTTTCAACGAACCTGTATGTATAGGGAGTGAAGAACATGAAGACATCACACGTGTTGCAAACACGAAGTATTCATTGAGATGTTTTCGCAATGGATTTTTGTTTCGCAGAAATGTCTGTATTGCATTTTCAATATTATGTTTTTAACATTTAAACTACACTGGGAGAACTAGTAGTAGAATGTAGCTTCAAATTCAAGGCATTCGAACGTTAAGTATTTAATTTTAATTTTTTTTTTTCAAATTAAAAGTCAAAACATGCCCTATCTGTGGTTTTGGAACTTTTCGAACGTGTTTTTAAATCAGTAATATTTAATTTGCATTTAGAGTTTGTAATGCTTTGGATCCATACATGGAGCACGATTTCAGGAGAAGAATAATCGATTTTTGAAAAATTACGATCATATCGTTTTTTCTGCGTTAAAGTCATAGTTTTGATAATTTCCGTCTCAGTTTATACATATTGTTTATACATATTATTCAGCACAGAATGCACAGAGAGCATTGTGTGTTGAAGCTCTTTTTAATTTTGAATTGTCCCAAGGGCTTTTCAGAGAAAAGAAACCATAACAATTGTTAAAATAGTAGAGCAAAAAAGTTTGCAATCAAATAGGTTTCTGAATCGTCAAACATCTTTACTTTACGCATGAAATTCGCCGACAATTTGTCTATTTTTGTAAACAAAATTTCACGTATTGAAGAATAAATGTGTCGATCTGGATGGCCGAGATGGCTAAGAGCCTATAGCGACTCAGCGTTTCGGTCAGAAGGGTCGTGGGTTCGAGTGCCGTCGTGGGCATGGTTGTTTATTACTTGTCTCTCATGTATGTGTTGCTGCTGACCACAGATCCGAGGAGCCCGCAAAGTGTGTTTATATCGAAAATGCATCCCTCGGGACGGAAAGGGTAACCGGCTGTCGGCTAGAAAAGACGTGAAGAAGAATGAATGAATGGATGTTGGAACCGTTAAACTCGTAAATGAATCATCCGGTGTTTTCCTCTTGAAACACGATATCCGCAAGTTCCTTTCGCAAGAGAGGAAGGCGCAGGAGTTGAGGCGCAGGGCGGGCGCGCGGGGCGACTCACTCTCCGCCGACGGGGCAGCAGACGCCAGGCACGAAGAGGCTCTTGAAGCAGATGGACTGCCTGAGCGTGGGCAGGTCGAGCAGCAGCTGCGGGCAGTAGCTCAGGTCGTCGCACTCGCCGGGCTCTCCGCGCGGGGTGGTGCACGCGCGTGCTGACACGCTGGCTCCGCCGGCGCCCGCTACGGCAGGCAGCGCGCCGCGCACGATGGGCGCGATCGCCTCGGTCACGTTCGTGCCCAGCACGTTCTTGCTGATGGTGTAGATGGCGTGCGGCAGCTCGTCCCCCACGTCGTGGCGGTCGTAGCGCGTCATGTTGACGAGGTAGCGCCCCACCGTGTTGATGGCGCCCAGCGTCTCCGAGATGGCGTCCAGGGACAGCAGGCGGCCCGTGCCGGAGGGGTCGGTCGAGCGCCGCGCGGGGCCGGGCGCCCAGGCGGCGTGACGGGCGGGCCGCGCCGAAGCGCCGGGCCGGGCCCGGCCGAAGGTCGAGCCGGCGCGGGGCCGCGGCCGGGGCCGGGCCGGGCGCAGACGGAAGCGCGGGGGCGGCGCCGCCTCCGGAGGCGGCACGCGCCACGCGGCCCGGGCCCGCACGCCGTCGTCGTCGGGAAAGACCACTGAACAGTCCCGCCCGCGAGTCACCCTCACCGCCGCCGCCACACACGCAGCACCCAGCCTCCGCACTCGCCTCGTGCTCGGAAACGAATCTGCACTTAGTTCAGTTCTAGAGTCATTTTTGCGCATCTATTCGCGAGAGAAACTTTCGCCTGCACCGAGACGGACGCCCTGCGGCCATATTCCAGACAGCCATCCCAAGGAAGCCTGATCGGTGCCCTGTGTCCATGAGAATCACCTGTTGGAGCCTGCCTGAACTGACCAGATGGCTTACTTCCCGTTAATGATACCTTGTCACGACGCTGCTACATAAGCGATGAAGGAAGAAACTTAGTTACCCAAGACGACGATGTTGTTACTTGCCCTGAGCCTCACCCGACCTCCGCCCATAATCGACGCGTGTGAAACGACTCCCAGTAGACATTGTTACCGCATAGAAAAGGTAACATTATCGCTCGCAGATTCATGAATCTATAGAAATTAGTACGAGGCGATCTGCGGTAGAGCGATCTGACTGCTGCTATTCCTGGGGCTATCACTGGGGCTTGAATTTCCGTTCTATCCATATGGAATTTGCGGTGAGCAACGCGAATTCGCGGATGGTTTTTTCCGGGGTTTTCCCGTTTCCTCTCTCTTTCATTTCACTATTGCTCAATCAGCAAGACTACTATCATATAGTAATTTATATAAAAAATTTGAAAATATTTTAAGAAGCATTTGCAAATTATCTACGACAGATCTCGGCAATTGTTTAATTCTTCGAGATTGAGATATTGAAATATTTGACGACTGTTTTTTGACTGTTATTATGTCAAAAGCGGGTTAACGCAAAATTCATAAATAGAAATGCAATTATCAGGATGAAGTAACGATTCCTTTGATAGAAAATTACTGAGATCGGAAATTTGAAAGCGTCTAGCGCACGTACTGCACGCCCCCAAAGAACGAGGCAGGAAATTGGACTAAAAATTTCAATTTGCATTCGCAATTATCAGCACAAAGGGCTTTACTTCTCTGTAAATAAATATTACAACTAATGGATTCATTGTTTTTTGTTACAATTGTGTGAGAAACGTAGGTTGCGTTGTTGTAAAGGTTAGACGTGAACTTTTAAATATAAGAGTACGAACGTACTTTCACTATTAGGAACTGAAGAAAACAAACTCGGTGTCAATTGCTTCCTTCCGGGCGTGATAAAAGAGAGAAGAACTTTCACAAAATCTGAGAATTATTTTGACAATTTGAACAACGTTGATGCAAAACAGTGACAACCATGTGTTTTTGTCGACTCATTTTACTTCAGAATTTCTTTCCATCTCAAGAAAATTGATTCCCGGGGAGTAACTCAGACATTATAGCTGTTTAATCATTAAATTAAAATGACTCCATAAATAAAACTGTTTTATCGCACAAGTGCGAAAAATTCGTTTCCGAGCAGAGTGTCATTACAGGTGCACCAAAAATGCGTTACTTCCACCCATAATCCCGACCCTCAACCCACGCGAAGTCAATAGTCCCAGAGTCCCACTGTACCCGAAATGTGCACTGAATGGAGACATTGAAGCATGCACTGTGCAAGTTGAATCTGTCTAGGGAAGGTCATGCGTCAGTCAGTCTGCCACCATACTACCACCATCAGCCACATATTTCTTACCTTTCCCACAAAAGGCAGAATCGCTATGGATACTAGACTTGTTCTTTTAACTGTCTATTTATTTACAGATTATTAGGCACAATTCACATCAACAGTTATCACATACTTTAATTAAAATAATAAAATAATTAGTTAGGACATTTATTTGAGGATTAAAATTTAGGTCAAAATTTTACGTTATGCCATCTCATGCATTTTGTATCTGATTTTAATGAATAACCGAGAATATGTTAAGAAAATACAGTTAAAAATACGTATTTTTAAATTATTGGTCATTTTACCATTTTTTACTCACACTTCCAAATATTAATTGCGTTCAGTATGAAATAAAAATTTATCTTTACATTTATAAAATGCATGAAATATTTTTTTCTACGATCGAGATTGAAGATTATTTGCTTAGACCGGTTGGTCGTGGAAGAGACAAACAATCGAGATCGTGAAAGAAACAAATATTTCGCACAAAAAGTTCAAACAATTTTTTCTACGATCGTGTAAAAGTGCTTGTATTACCAATCATTGTTTCATCATTATTTTTAATTGGTTATCAAAACAAAGCACAATTGTTTAGACATCGAGCAGCGAAAAAGTATTTTTTACTCGGGGACATAAGGTCACGCGAAAAATACTTATTTTCATAACGGCGACACGGTTTCTGGATAGCTAAAGAGAACACTTACTTTAGTACCCGTAGCGGACTGTAAAATTTCTTATTTTTATACGATCGTACAAAATTGAACGTTTGAAATTTTATGCATCAAAGTTTCACACTATTTCAATTAAAACCTGATTGTAAATGTCCTTAGGAATTATTTTTATTACTTATACTTTATGTAGTTATGTATTTAGAAATATTTAGTATAGAAATATTTAGAAAGTGTAGAAAATTAATGATATGATTCTACCAATCAATATTTATAGGTCTCGCTATAAACACACAATACAAAAATTCACAATCCCTGGCTGTTAGTTTATGTATTTGGAAACAAGAAGGGCCCAAAAATAACAGCATCTTTTCTCTTTTAAACAAGTATTTCTGACTAAGGCTTAATATTATTTCTGTTCTGTCACCGTGGTGTTCGGAGAATTGCATTTGAATGAATCCCCATGACATGATGAAAATTGCCAATCCTGGTAAAGTCACCCACAAAGGGAAGAAGGTTTATTAAATCTTGGCAAATTATTACTTCTACTGAAATATTCGATTAATCATGAACTGTATATGTTAGTAAACGTTGTTTAGAATGAAATGCTTACGTTCTTGATACATGGTTAAAGAAATCGAACCAAATGTAATTTTAAGAAGATGAACCACATAAAACGTTACCTATGTAGAAAACTAATGTGTCAGGAAAGGTGACAATTATAAAAATATTTGCCATTTACTCATACATTAATTACATGGGAAGTGATGATTCAAACCATCAGCTTAAGTAAAAGGGGCGCTAAAATTAGATGCCTTTCAATGTTTCCCAAGAACTATTTATGTCAGGAAGTCTAACAAAAAATTGTAAATTAATCTCAATAGTTTAATGAGAGTAACCAAGGGTTCAAATATCGAGACGAACAACCACGTCGCTCAACTGCTTCGGGTACAGACCTTGGCGCTTCCTCCTGGCGTCAGCTGGCGTCACTTCAGCCAGCAACAGCACCAGCGCCACCAGCAACAGCGGCAGCCGCCGGCGGCATCTCGCGGCGGGCCCTGAAACCAAATGGCGACGTCAGCGCGCTCAAAGTAGCACTGGTCGAAGGCTTAATTTTGCTCCATTGTTTGCCGAGAATTATAATAGCGAGGGCAAACTGTTGAATGTTTTCCAAGTTATTTTGAGGCTGTGTTGATACAGGAAGTAATAAAACATATTATGTTCTTTAAGATATATAAAGTAACTACGAGTATGTAGACATCTTAATTGTTTTCTTTTAGTTCGTAATTGGATGCTTTATGCTGTAGTCATTTCCGCGACCTGTAGTCATTGACACCCCATCAGAACTGTTTACACAGCAGTACTTTCAATAATACAGAATTCTCTTGTGATTTGCTAGTCCCAGAAATGGTAATAAGCTTTTTATTTCCGTTTATCACAGCAAGCAATTTTGTGTGTGTGTGTGTGTGTGTGTGTGTGTGTGTGTGTGTGTGTGTGTGTGTGTGTGCAATGAACGTACTATGGTCAGCATGCAAGCTTTCCATGGTGTGATTCTGGGTTCGATTCGCAGTTGGGGTAAAACTAGAGCCGTAACTTTCATTACACAAATGGTTGTGTAAATGAAAAGCTCAGACAGGTCAAGTACATACGGTGGAGGGAGTTCGTCAAGCTTGCTACATGTCTCCCTTACCCACCACAGGTGGATAAAAAATAAAAACCGGGAGCATGCAGTTGAATTAATCTGGGGTTAAAATATCAAACACCTAGTACACATCTGTCCGTTGAGGATACGTAAGAATCGATCGAGTTTTTGTTTCCTGTTTCATTTTGGGAAATTGTCCTTGTGAATACCCATGAGTCATGGCGAACACATCTACATACTTCGTAGAAAGCTGTCATTTCCAGAAGTAATTCTTTCCACAATCACACTTACTTTTGCAAAAAATGCACACTCGTGGGCATTTGCTTGTTAATTTAATGCTATTTTCAATTAATTCCTTGCAATGAATCATTAATCGATGCTTTTAGCATTCTAATATTTTTAAATTGTATGTAGTTCTGTGTATGTGTGTATTTAAATAACTCATTTTTATCTTAATTTAGAAACTAGTCGTTCATTTGTTTGTATTAGAGGTTTTAATAGTTCTGGGGTTCGTAATGAACGAGTATCGTAACTGAAATATGATAATGTTGTACTCCAAGAAAAGTGTGAACTCTTTCGATAAAAGAAAATAAAGAAGAAAATGAGTTTCTTTGCCAACATATTTTTGTCAAATCTTAAAATGAGTGGATTAGGTGGCTCAGAGCATCGATTGAGGTTACTGCAGTGCCTCTGACCGAAAGGTCCTAGGGTTCGCGTCCCGACGGTGGCGAGATTATCGACACTAGCTACACACAGGTTGAATTCAGCCACTGTCTTGAGAATTCTTGCGATCAGCTGCTCTGATCGGTAGTTTTCCGTGGTTTCTCCGATCAGCAACATGCGAATGTCGGAGCAGTGCCCTAACAAACGGGCCACGGACAGCCAGCGCCTTTTCTTTCCTCTTCCTTGTTCCACCCTCACCCCTTACACACATGTACACATATACGCACTACCACTACCACAGATATCGGGAGCTTAAAGCTTGTCCCAGCTGGGGCAATGCCCCGTTGGTGGGAGATACCTGATGTGTGGACCCCCCCCCCCCACAAACTCACACAAATTTGCAGGACATGTCTGTATATTTAGCGATTTTCCTGGCGTCCGTAATTATTTTCCAAAATCATCAAATTTTCCATATTTTCGTGTTACAAATAGCGATCTTTTTTTCACCGTAAACTAATGTTTTTTTCTAGAATTACATAGGTCGGCGCCGGATCTCGCCATGCAGCGGGGGAAGGCCACCTTAAAAACATGCACTACACTTAGGCGGCTAATGACCTTAGCAGTTGCCGCGCCAGGGCATCACTAATCAATCCATCAATTCTTAAAATGAATGATGTAAGTGGATACAGAACCCGGGGAAGGGTTACCAGAAGTTCCAATTTTGCAGGACATGTCTGAATATTTAGCGATTTTCCTAGTGTCCGTACTTATTTTCCAAAATCATCAAATTATCCATATTTTCGTGTTACAAATAACGATGTATTTTTCAAGCACCGTAAACTAATGTTTTTTTTCTAGAATTACATTTGCTTACTTTCTTTTCTGCAATCTCTTTGATATTAAGTTAGTGTCTGGTGAGCCAACGTTGCATCGTGGTTTTTAGTATGTTAAAAATCGATAGTTTCTATTCGTCTGAGCTTCGTATCATATTCCTTATCTATTTACCCGTGAGTGTACCTTTCTATGCGAATTTTAGGTTTTAATATTAGACTAGCATTAATAAACACGAAGACTCTATTCACCACTTCAACGCATGACTTTAACCTGGCTTGAACAAAAGTGTGTCAATTTCAGCATAGTTTATGCATTAACGAAACAGTGTTTGGTGTTCCCTACATGGTATAATGAAAAAAATAGGTGTACGTGTACTGCTGAGATGGAGGCGAAATACAAAAACTTCAAAAAGAGTCGCACTATTGAAGAAGCAGAGTATTTAGTTTGGCAAATCAGGAAGGTTCGTATCAGTTACTAGCTGTTTTTAATATGTCCTGCATTTTAAACCCATTTGTCCTTCTTTACACCCATTCTCAGCTGGTAACCCTAAACCAGGACTATTAAGAAACGACAATTACATTTCTTTTGGAAATACTTTTTAAATAAAGTAATTATTATAAGAAAAATAATTTCATAGAATTACTTTAATTTTTTGTACAACACATTAATTACCAGAGAATTATTTGTCTTCTTCTTTAATCTAGAATTGGAAATTTCAACTTCTTTTTCTTTTTGGGATGTGTTTACATTTTCTTAGATGCAATAACAATTTACCAATCGTAATTCTCCCTTTTAAATACATTTTAATTGAATTATCTCTTATTCGAATTATAAATATTTATGAACTAGTAGGGTTGGAAATTTTGAAACAAAATAATATATATTTTTAGACGTTTTGCTCATGTGGCTCCCAGCTCAATTACCTGATGTTCAGGTAGCTGTTTACCAGAAAAACATTCAAGTATATTGTTTGTATTTTGTTTTCCCTTGCACGTTTGATTTCTTGTTTATGCTTTTAGAGATCAAATACTTAAAAAAATGTCTATTTATAAATAATTGGGTAAAATGTAGGATTTTACTTCAGACATTCTAGCTCTACAGCAAGTTGATGTATTTTGATAATTATTTTTGTAAATGAATCACAATTGTATGTTCTAGGAAATGAACTAGAATGAACTAAAGTTATTGTGAAAACTAAAGATTCAGGATTTTATTATTTTAAAAACAACAACAATCAGTTGTTTAAAAGTTTATTCTGGACATTTGGGTCCATTTAACTCAAAACGTTTAGTGACACATTAACTATTTTTGTTCATTCCCTAGAGCAAACCATGAGTTGCATGCAGCAAAAAGAATTATATCATTATCTTTTATAGTTTATGATTTATCATGTTTGACATGCATGCATATGTTGAAAATTCCCAATACAAGTAAAATGCATCTGAAGTTCACTCACTAAGACAGTTGACACTCGCTTGGAAAAAATATTCGCTCAGAAACTAAGAATTATAGAAAGAAATGGTTTGAAGCATTTAAAAGAGAAAAAAATACAGTATAAGTCTCAATGAAAAATAAGAAATTTCACAATGTTTCATCCTTTTGAGGTAGACAGCTACCTTGGACATGCTCCCTAAGATTGGTTAACTGCAAAATAATTAAGAATTGGGATTGAATTAATTTATATTTCTTGAAAATATAGTTGAGGTGTATTTATATGATGGTGTTATTTGAATCGATCCAGGAATTAGTTTATGGGGAATAAAGTTGTTGTCAGGGAGTAATAAAGGTATTAAATGATTTGGCTGGTTGTTCATGCCTATAGAATAAGTTCATCCAAATCCGTTAGTTTTCCAATAAAGAAATAATACAATAGATTAAAAGAACTCTTGATTCTGTACATTGCATGATTTTTTATTTATTTACGTCAAAAAGAGTTAAAACTGTGCGTGAAGTGCGACGGGGAAAAGTTAATTTGAAGTTACATTTATGTTTATGATGTTTTATGACGTTTTATGTTGACGTTTATGACGTATGTTATGTATGACGTTTTCTGATCTTAAGCTCCAGAATTACTGCCCCTTTTTTATAATGTAGATAGGAGAAGTGAGTTGACATTCTATATTTCCGACAACCAATATGTATATCTTAAGGACCAGTTCAACGTAATGTTACGTCACGTACGGTCTCCAGAGTTTTGCCAATGCGAGCAGCCGGGTTCGTTCACGTGACCTATGAACTGGGGTAATTGCACAGCTCTCCAAGTGGCCATTCGGCGAGAAGAAGTGCTGGGAGGCGACCGAGTAGTTCTGACGTTCTGTAGCGTTAGCAGAGTCACACGATTGGGTATTGAGAGGTGGACGATTTCACGAAACCAGCCACAGAAGAGAAAATTGCTATTGCCATTTTCTTAATTTTCTCAGTAAATAACATAACTATTTACATTATTTTCTATTGTCACCACCCTATTATCTTATTGGAGAGTCACTGGAAATCTGATCTGAGACTCTAAATGTTCCCAATGATGTAGCTTTGTTAATGTGTAACCAATTTATTTCATTAATTAATTTTTTTCAAAGAAATATCGTGTCGTACTTTGTTTATTGTGATCTGCAAAATACATGGCAGTGGACAGAGTTAATGAACGTGCTTATGACTGGTAACATTAACAATCTCGATTGAGATGCTGCAGGACAGGAGAGAAACAGTAAATAAAGCTGTTAAAGTGTTGAAAAATATACCATTTGTAGGTGAAAAAACGAGCACTAGTTAAATTTCGCCGAACTAGGAGGCAAGGACGAAGAGAGAAACGGATTTATAAAAAGAACAGTGGATTATAAATTAACGCGAATAACGCAGGAGTGTGTGGATCGGTGAAATTGACAAGCGGCCACCGTTGGTGGTCGTGTGGGCAGCGAAGTGTGGCGGCGACCGTGGCACCAGGAGAGCGGAGCATCGGGAAAGCAGCGTGGCGGCGGCGGCGGCGGCGGCGGCGGCGGGGGCAGGCGCGGGGGCGGTGCAAGGTAAGGCGGAGGCCAGCGCCACTGGTCCGCGGCGGGACGAGACGCGGCGCGGCACAGCGCTTGACCGCTGGAAGAAAGCGCGGATTCGGCTGGCGACGCCCTCGGCCACTGACCCCGAGCCGGTGGCGGGGGCGTTCCTGCGGCTCCGGGCGTTTTCTGCACGGATTCGACGTGCTCGTGACGGAATGGAAGCGCCCCGCTAACGGAGGGAACGAAAATAGGCAATCCGATAACGGTTCGAGGCCATAATCTCGGAAGAAATTCGTGAAGTTGAAAGAAACGGTACTGCCTGCTTCTGTTGACAAATATTTTGTAACTATGAGGTAAATTTCGAACTGATATATTATTCATCGTTTGGAATGCTTCATTAATTCAATATTTTACGAGAAATTTTCTTTCGGTATGTGACCATGTAGTCGCCAAATCACTCCTTGATGTTCAATCTCTTGACTTCATCCATTATTTTGAGCGATGTCCATGCAAGTGTGTCGCCTAAAACAAGAGGGAAATTCTACATTCCTGGATCGCCTTTCTATTAAACTTTTTTATTTGGATATGAAATTTTTCTACTAAGTAAATAAAACACACTACAAGAACGACGTTGATTAAACCTTAAACGATTATACCTTCACAATTCATTAGATTACAAAATATATTATGTAGAACAAATTACATTTTACAGGGTTGCCAGATGGTTTGGAGAGCCGCTTTCCCAAATGTATAACAATTTCCCAAATAGTGAGGTTATAAAGAGTAAAATAAAGGATTGATTATATTTACGGAAAATAAATGATTTATTGCGTAAGGCGAAGGGAGCATCTTTCAAGGGAGTGACGATTCTCTAGTGTCCCTACTGTGCTCACGTCTGTAGCGATGTCACCTTTCCCCCTGTTTCTCTGCCTTCTTCTTACATGAATAGCTCGAGCACTTTTTCGGAGTATTCTTTGCTAACCTCAGATAGTTAAAGTTATCCTCCATTGATGCAGTTAACTATCCGTTCACCTGTAATATCTTAATATGCGTTTTTATTAATTTTATTAATTCTTAATAATTTTCGTGTTCCTTAAAGTACAGATTTTCACTTTCTGTAACTTTCCTCGTAGATTGCTCTTCGATTGTATAATATTCCAGTTAATTTTTGTTGTGTTTTTTCTATTAGGTATTAAAGTTCATCTAACATTTTAATTCTATTATTCAGAATTTTTTATTGGTTGACTGGAAGAGTCCGGTACAACCTATGAAAGTCGTTTAACCCGACAGTGCGCGTCCATTAGGTGAAGGAGAAAGGTCAGGTTGATTGGGAAAGAGGGGTATTTGCGAGGTTTTGAGGGGAAGCGTTCCTAAGTCAGGGGTTGTTGTGTCTGGCTTGTCCTGTGTGTGGTCATTGTATAGTGCAATGGGTAAGTTAAACGGATGTTTATGACAATGCGACGTAGTGCAATGCGACGAAACGGTAAGGTGGATATTGTGGATATCAGGCAGAAGTGAACAAATTAGTACTGTCCTGAAACAAAACAAAGTTCACGTATTTATCATCCAATGACTTCGGGGAAAGTTTTTCTAAAATATTTTTGCATAAAATGCATTGGTGATTAGGAGTTGCAGAGACCCAAGAACATTTCATGTTAATAGCCAGAGCCGAAGGCCCTACCGTCATCTTGGACTTGGAAATGCGTAGCAAAGCGACATCTTGAATGTAAAGTAATTTGGCATAAAACATGCAAATGAAAGTTAGTCTGTGAAGCGAGTGAGATTTAGGTAATTTTATAGAGATTCCATTTGCGCTGCCAGCTAGTGTACTGGAGTCCCAATTAAGGAATAGGTAAGGGAGTTTCGTAATATTGCGGTGATTACAAAAGAAGACAATCAGTTCCTCTTGTCCCAAATACTACTTCCCAATATTCTTTGTCTGTTCTGTTGGCAAGTGAGAATTTGAGCAATGATTTTCTTATGCCTTAGGTGGAGTATAGCTCCAGAAGGTCAAGTGTTTTACGAAAGTTACATTGCATAATTAATGCGTTACCAAGAATGCCTTTGTTACGAGCATTTACACACTATTCACATCATGAATGATTATAACGTTTATAATAGTGACAATGCGAAAGTATATTACCGTGTTATTAAGAACGTAAAGTATGTCAAGCAATTTTTGTCATAACAAAAGCAAACCTTTTTATAATGAAGTTAAGAAATATTCATGGTGTTAATCCATTAGTACTATTTATCTACAATCGTTTCTTGTAAAATATGAACATTCTTTCGCACACGTCGACTCGCATTCTTCTAGCTATTAGTTTCGGCACGTATGTTGGTATTTTAAGTTCAGGGCATTTAGTTAATTGGGAAATGTAATTTCAGGTATCGTTTTACTCATTTTTGGGAGCAGCTTCCTTTTCCATGAAAATCATCTCTACATCAATTTTAAATTATTTGTAAATTAACATCGGGACCAATTATTTGTAACAATAGGTGTGACCAGTTCGATCCCGTAGAAAAATGTTGTAGAAATGGAATCTCTCAATAATTTGTGTTTCCTTTACAGTAATTAAATATTTTTGGTTTTCTTTTTCAAACTTGTAGAATTGAATGTGTGAAGATTGGGGTCTTGGAACCTCGGTATTCTTTCAGCAGTTAAAATATAGGAAACGGTGGGGTAATACACCACTCATTATAACCACAGAAATACTTTTTTAATCCAGTTGTTTGACGTAAATAAATATTTTTAATACCACCTCGTTAGTCACTTAACGGTAATGATGTTTCAGAGTCCAATTGCACCACGCTTGAAGGTTGTGTGTGAATGACTGTTAAGCAATTTTGGCGCCCATTCACTCAATCTTTCTCTATCAGTGGAATGGACTGGCAGTCATGTTATCATATACTGCTCACCACATTCCAATGAATGACTGATTTGGGTGGTTTCTGATATCTTTCTTGCGAACTCATTAACACTAAACAAACACCTTCGCTGCTGTTCCACCAATGGTGCTTCGTCACTTCTCTCTCTCTCTCTCTCTCTCTCTCTCTCTCTCTCTCTCTCTCTCTCTCTCTCTCTCTCTCTC